TGCCTCATGTATCAATATATAGTCTTGGTTTAAAGTAATGGGACATCTTACGAGATTTATTCTATAAAGAATAACGTTAACAGACCAATAAGGCAGCTCAGCACATTAATAAGGAAATATATTATGCCTGAAGTACTCCAAAACCTGTTTTGGTAGTAAAATGACAACTGGATGAAGGACTGTGATTGCAGTGGTACCAAATTACACTTCAGGTTTCAGCCAAGGGTCAGAAAATGTTGTGCAAAAAAGTGTCTGGTACTGTACAGAGTCACAAAAGACTTGTACAGCTGAGTGAAAGAGTCAAACCCAGTTCTGCAAGACTGAACAGTGCTAAAGGTTTTACAGTTAGGTTTGACACTTGAGTGTTTTCCAATATTGATTTTCTCTGCACTTATCAGCAGTCACTGTAACTCTGCAGACAGAGGGGACAAATCCTGGTCACAGAGGCACAGATCAAAGAGCTGCTTGAGCCTTCCCCCCTTTCCGTTTAAAAACTTAACAACCTCAGTGACAGGGACTGGAAACACTCAAGAGTTCTGCTGATACACCGTGTTCAAAAGAAAGGGATATTCTTTCCTCTTAAATACCAAGGATCACTTTTTTACACGAGAGTAGAAGAGTGAATAAGATCATTATAAACACAAACTGAAAGCTGGGTTGCTACACCCACATTTAGCCAGCTAGTTGACCTGATTTACAAATATTCCAAGCATCCTCTGTGCTTGCATCATCAAACATCATCTGGGTTTCGAGGGTGTCCAGCACAGCTGAAAATGAGGCCACTGATTTTAGAGCCTAAATAGAATTCAAACAACCTAACATGAGGTTCCTGCTTCGACAATGTCAGTATCTTGATCAGAAATTAATTGGTTCCATTTAACTTACTAGCTCTGCTGGGCATAATTGCCTTCAAGAACAGATAAACCAGGTAAGACCAGAAGTCCACCTATACCACAGTCCTTACTGAGTGTTCAAGGAAAAAACAAGAGCATGGGACTCTTTTCTCATCACATTCTTCTAGACCCCAGCAACATGTGATGTGGCTAGTCAAGCTATTTATACACAGTACTTGGCTAAGAATTTTTCCTTGTGCTAGAACTTACTACAAAACCAGTACATCTGAAATACATTAATTCAAACAGAAAGAGCAGTAATCTTATGTTATTTAAACAATGTGTGCCGAACAAAAGACTTTGAAGACCATTGTTTCAAAAAGAGCGCTTCGGCTGAATGCAAACAAAGGCTTACAACCCCCAGGGGAGTAAAATAAACATCAGCATGTTTGCTCTGGAGAAGTAGAAAGCTGCTAAGCAGTTTCTAACACCGCAGAAACACGAGAGATTGGTGTGACTGTGAAAGGACTTGTGCAATTAAACACTGACAGGGAAGTCGAGGTCTCAAGCACAGGCTCAGGTGGCACCAGAAGTCAGAGCTTCTGCATCTGAAAGAATGTTTTTCCTCGGGAAATGAAAAAGGACAAGGAATTCGGAGTCTCTTCAGGTTTTGACAAAAGGAAAGGAAATTGAGTTACAGGTCAGCGGGAAGAGACTTTGAAACAGTGGGTCTGCAAATGTGATCCATAAAACCAGACTGGGAATGAACTGATTTGAAGAGCACAAATAACCAATGCAGGGACCCTATTTTTAATCTGAAATCAGTAATTCAGCTTTGTCCACAGGAACTGCTTGTTCACATGAGAGCATTTGCAACAGTGAAATACCTCCTGTATTTAAATGCCAACGGGGTTGACAATTCCTAAGGGAGTCCCATCAACAGCATCAAAACAAACTGCTACTTTTAATGTCCTGATTCTAACCTCTCAGTTCTACAAGTACATGAATGATGTGCACCTTTCAGTGCAGTGTGTGGTCAGGGATCTCTTCCTTGAAAAATCTAATTAGGAGCTCTTGGGCTTGCAGTCTGACACACTCCCCTACTCCTTCTACTGAACCTCACTCTCTTCTGCTAGTGAAAGAACTTAAAAATCAGATAATTAAGTACTCTCAGGTGTTCATGAGATTCTCAACATTCTATAGAAAGCATTGAATCTCCGGTTTTTAAACTATTTAAATATGGTCTGCAATGCTTTATTAATTTAATTTATGTACAGTTCAATGTAATTTGACCAACAAAGACACAGAGGCCACATCCTTCTTTTGCTAGCATGAATTTAGGTGCAGGTATACTGAGTCACTGGAACTGAGACTGTATAGAACCAAGAGAGAGTACAAAATAAATCCTCCAGCTGCAAAGATCTGCAGGAAGCAAGAGGGGATGGCTGCAATTTTATACACAGGCAAGATCCTGTTTCCATGCAGAAGTCCATAGCCAATTAAAAAAACAGGAAAATGTGTACAGAAAACACAGGTGAAATGAATGCTTTCAACCAGGAGAAATGCAGCTGACCCACAGTAGCTGCCACTAAAACAGACAGCTTGAAATGCCCAATTAGGCCACTCCCTGCAAGAACTATCATGAATTTCACCCCAATCTAAAATGCTGGGGAACATCCCTCCCAAATAAAGGGAAGTGTTTTGGGATATGAAAACCACAGTAAGTATCATCTGATGAGGAACAGACAAAGAAAAGTGCCAAATGCTGTCAAGCCCTGATGCTCCAGATAATGGCTAAAATTTATGACTTCCTTCACTGGCAGGCAGGAGTACAATTAGAATTCTCATAACAGTACCTCCCATGTGCTGGCATACTATGTTATGTTTATACTGCTACAGATAGACTAGAAGATAAAAAAATAAATACTATTAAAAAGCACCCTTTTTAACCCAAGGTAATAACTAACTTTTTTTCTTTGTGTGGGTTTGGACACGGTTTTGCACATAGCTTATTGTTAACTGAAGTAATTTAGGCAATTTTCACTGTATGCACAGGAATTAAGCATTTAAGTAGCTTGCTACATACACAGAAGCCTCTATTTGAAAAATCACACAAAACAAGAACAAACTAGCTATTATGAGTCACTTAATAATCTCCTGCCCAAATACAGCTTGATAATTAAACAGCTCAAATTATTTCTTAAACTGTTTAAATTTGGAAAAATTTGAATGTGTTTGGCTTGAGGAATTGCTGAATGAAAAGCATCAGGAAGTGTGCACACTCATTCTTTCATCCTTTACTTATATCCAGTGATAGGTATCACTTGGAACTGGCAGTGGTTGGAAGCAGCACAGGGGAATGAAAGCATGGGGGTTTCTCATCTTCACAAAGAAAGCACAATTACAGTGTTTTGAACACGAGGTCTGGACTCAGGTAATCACAGATGGCTTTCCAACAGAAACCTGCAGGCATCTTTTCCCTAAAAATTGTGGGAAAGCACTGGCAATTTCCCAAAGAGCAGCAGCATATCAACAACTGAATCTTGAAGATTTCTCCTACTGTGTGTTGTGATTGTGGCCAGACATTGCTCTCTGCTCCCTCATTCATTTTGTGCTGTTTGTGTGCCTTGCCCTTGTGGTTCCACAGATCCCTGCTCTTATCACAAGCTCAGTAAAATGGCCCGTTTCTTAATTACAGCAATGATCCACAAGGACTTGTGCCAACCCTTTGGTACCGTGCCTTTGAAGCCAGAGAAAACTGCTGAGCAGCTCTGCAAGCTTTGTATGGCTTCAAGAACATCACACTTCACTCCAAAGCAAACCACTGTGCAAGGCACCAGAGAACATCACCTGTGCTAGGGGCCCAAAGCAACTCGATGCTTTCAGTGAAGTATCACTGAAAACTCAGTAACCAGCAAAACCAGTAACCAGCAAAAAGTACCTACAAAGCAACGAGGCTCATATGATAGAGGAGGGTGACTGACAAACTGTTTAAGTGTTAAATTTGCTAGATCTTCAGAAAAAAAAAAAAGGCAAGTAAACTTACACTAAGAACTACACAATATTGTTATGTGCCAGCATAATTTTCTACTTTTAACCCAAAAGCTGTGGATGCCTCACCCCTGCATGAGCTCCAGGCCAGGCTGGATGGGGCTCTGAGCAACCCCAAGTGTCTGTGCCCATGGGGTGGAGGGGCTGGAACCAGATGATTGTGTCTCTTCCAACCCAAACCATTCCATGGGTCCATAATTCTGGTTCACTTACATGTCTGAAGTTACAATGAAAGCATTTTATTAAAATTGCTTCAGATATCAAACCTATTTGACAACTATCTCAGGAGCTCCACAATACAAACTATACAGTCTGGGAATACAGCTTTCCTTTCAGTCATTATTTTTCTAACAGAGCTTTACCTTTAATTCTTCTCTTGGATGTTTTGTACATCTGCCTACATGAATCCACTCTACTGTTGGCACTAGTGAATAAAAACAGCGTTTTGATCTCTGCTATTAACAAACAGTTTCTCATTACCAATTAAATACTTTTTTTTTTTAAAGAAAAATTAAAAGTGAACAGGGAATTTCAATTGCTAGTCATTGTCTTACAACTAATAGAGCTAAAATTCTATTGTCCTTGCATGACTGGAAATTACACTGCAAAACCAAAAGTATTTAAATTTTTCATTTTTCACAATTCCATGAAAACTTGATAATGTGATCCCTACAATTTGCCTTACTCAGCTTCTGAAGACCAGTGTTTGAGTAGGAACTCATAAATCACGACAGGCTTATGAGGAAACTCTAGATCTAGACTTTAACATGCCCTTGTTCTATCAAAACATAATGGTAACATCGATGCCCAAAGAAAACAAGACAAAATGAGTGCAGCATCAAGTACTTAAATCAACAAAACCAATAAAACAACTTCAGTTTGGCAAACGAGGAAATTCAGACCCACACGGCTAATAAGCTTGTATTTTCCTTCCCTAAAGGAAGCCCTGTCAAAACTAAAATAAAGATCACAAAGGATGCAAACAAATGAAGTCAGAACAAAGTTTTAAGTTTGATTTAAGAAAAACAGCACAGCAACTTTATATTGAGAGTTAAACAGCTGATAAAAAGAAGTCAAACAAAACACGGGAGACGAGACACTAAGAAGTTTCTTTACCTGGCCATTCCCAGGCTGGAGAAGTTGGAAGGGACTATCAGAACATCGAGCCTGGAGAAGGGGTGGGTGCCCAGCGTGGCGAAAGCAGCCGAGAGGCACCGGGGGATGAGCTGCAGCAAACGCTCCTCGCAGAGCTCCAGGAGGCACCGGGGGGAGAAGAGTCTGTGAGGAATGACAGCCTGGCAGCTCCCTGCGGGGCTCTGGAAACGGCAGGGATAGTCCACATGGCCACACGCTGCTTCCTGCCAGCTGACAGGGACAAAACAACACAACAGCTTAATGTGACACCAGAAATGTGCACGACTGACTGTGCTAAGACAGGGATATTCTCCAGACATCAGAAAGACAGAATGAATTTCCATAAAAGCAGCTCACTTGTATTCTCACACTGCTGTTACACTGGGTGAATGAAATAATGAGTGAAATAATGAGTGAAAACACTCATTGTTACATGGGTAGGACTGATAATCGTTACTCATAACTAAAAAGTCACATCTTGTTTTCATAACAGATATGCATCAAGAGAATAAATGCTCAAAATATATGTAAAGAGAACTAATAACAATAAAAAATATTTATTCAGAAAATTCCTATTCAAATTTGACTACTAAAATAAAATCCCATACATGTTAAGATACATTAACACAAACGTGCAATTAGAATGAAATCCCACGGGGGATTTTTTCTGTTGCTGTTACTAAATTCTCTCACTTTTAGTGATTCTTTTTTTCTTCCTAAGTAAAGAACAGCAGCAGATATCAACTCAGGGTTATCACTGTAGACATTCAATAATGCCACATTAGACTCAGCCTTACTTTATGCTACTTTTGCAGGATATCCAGAGCTGGAGCTGGAGGAAAGGAGGGGTAAATCAAATCCTTCCTAAACACTGAGTCATCTACCTTCACAATAAGTTATCTGCCCAAATAGACTCATATTTAAACAGAGATCAACTTCATGTTTTCACCTGTCAGCCTGTCTTCTGCACAGTGGAGAGCTTCTCTTTGGTTGGAAATTTCAATTTAAAGCACCTGGTTCTACTGTGCCTGGACAGGCAAAGCACCCAGCATTGCCCAAAGCACTTATACTTGGAAGATCATGCTGAAGCTAAGTGCTGGCACAGAAAACAAAACGATAACATCTAGAAAAGGACAAGATTTTGATGCAGTGTCAACACTTTAGCACTCTACACAGGTCTTTCTGTCAAAGATGTGGACTCAAAGTTCTTTCATTGATTATGTATGTAAAGAAACCACATCCATCAGTACACTTTTTTTTTTCTAAGCATGGTCTAATCCAGTATATTTCTGCTCTAAAACAATGTCACTTTGTATTTTATTATCAGAGTTGAGATTAGGCAGGAATAGGAAAGCTAGCACCCCCTCTCTTGTAAAAACTGCCAAGTACTTAAATGACCACGAGGAGATAAAGTTAAAAGCACCACAGTTCCATTTAACATTCACTTTGATACAGCCTCCTTAAGTCAAACTCACTGGCACCTGGATAAAAATCACATTACACATTTCAACAGCTTCTTTCAGAACTCCTTCCTTTTCCTGATGCCCAGAGTTTATCTCCATTATCTTATCTGAGGCACAGGTTTAACATTTGCTTCTCTATCCCTTTCACAGCCTTTCTAGAAATGTCTGCTACTGTGCACAATGTTAGTTTGGTAACCTGGTCTCAGAGACTAAAATAAGTAACAATCTGTGTTGTGCTAACCCCAAATAAAGATCAACTGGATATAACTGTAAGAGCATATTTTTAAGGACATAATTTTTATGTCCTAATTAGCTGCAAAACACTTAGGGTTTCCTTTTTTACCTGCACTGGATTTTGTTGATCTTTTCCCCCCCCAAGACACATTAGCTCTGTTTTTTCCACTCTCACCAACTCAACTGCTGCAGATACATCACACTGTGTCAATTAACTCATCCAATAACCATCACACAAATCAACTCATAACAATGACATTGCACAGATTAAAACTTGCACTGATGAAAAGTTACAAAAATATTTCCTGTGTTTCAGAAATTTTACAAAAGGTAGCAACACTGTGCCAAAATAATCTTTTGCACCAAATCAATAAAAAATCCTATTACCAGATGTGCTGTACATTAGAGAAGAATACTATAGTGAAGATCTACAGCTTACTTCAGTAGAGGCAGTCATATTATAAATATAAAAATGGCAAAGGAATAAACACAAAACAATTTCTAGAGGCTTATCAAACCTATAAACTATTTTAAAGTTTGCATAGGCATGTCTTATTGATCCTAGGTAAATTATAAAAATTTCTATTGTCAACATTAATAAGAAATTTTTTAACCAAAATTAGCCAAGATGCAAGCCATCAGAATCCTTTAATTTCAAATTCAAAAAAAATAACTCTATTTCGTTCTCATGTTCCAAAGTCTCACTAGCTTTACCAAAACCATAAGGACTTCCACTGTCTTAATGTTAACATAGCATTAGCCCAAAACAGCCATCTAAAAGGTAAGGGGTTTTTTTTTGGCAAAGTTTCAAATACTTAGGACCTGACTCACCTAATCACCTTCTACAACAAAACAGCAATTTCTGTTGGCAAGGGGAGAGAGCACTGGCAGTCGTTTGCCTGGAGTTCTGCAAAACACGGATTAGAGTTTCCCACAGCCTGGACAGACTGGCAGGACACAGCCTGGCTGGTGGTGTGCAGGGTGGGCACAGAACTGACTGCCAGGCTGCACTCAGGGAGTGGGGATTGTTATGGTTTGGAGCTGGCTCTCTGCCAAGTCTCCAAACCTTACCCCAAACCAAGGGAGAAGAGGGGAAAAAAAACCAAAAGAACCGAAAACGAGAGAGAGACAAAGCAATATATATAAATATATTTACACTTATATTACAGTTATGTACAGTTGAAAGATATATACAATTTCACAGGGAAAAGGGAAAGGGGAAGGGAAGAACAAAAACCAAAATAATATATATATCTATATTATCCCGATCAGTAGCCCAAGGTCTATCAACTAAAAGAATTAGCAGAGAATATCTTACTACTCTCCTTGGGACAACGGAGAGTCACGTTGGAGCGACTGCTGTCAGCCTCCGCCTCCCAAGGTCGACAAGGCCTTACCAGGCCTCACTCTCCAACCCGACAGACTCAACACAGGGAGATCTGCACCTCCAAAGCTGCCAGAAGGAAAGAGAGCGAAGGCCTTTCCTCCTTTCTTCTTATACCCCAGTTTACGTAAAAATCGTAGGGAATACCGGGTAAATCTGGGCACTTCCTTGGTTACAAGCTGGTCACCAAGGAAGGCCTAGGCCAAACTACCACAGGATGGATGGTTCTCACTCGGGCAGGCAGCCTGGCACAGCTGGAGCTCCCCAGGAAATCACTGGGGCCTCACACCCTTCACTTCATCATCATCATCATGGCCAGGCTTCGTGAACGAAGATTTGGGAAGGGCTCTACCCATGTTTGTTGCAAGTTGGTGGCTAAAAAGGCCAATACAAGTCCAATTGCAAAAGACACACCCTTCACAAACACCTTCACAAACACCCTGCCTGGTGGGGTTGGAAGCACTGGTGTGACACTGCAGCCACCAAGGAAAATCAGATCCCACAGCTGCAGTGCAGAGAGACGGACACAACCACCCCCCCTGCTCAGAGCTGCTCAGGCAGCACCCAGACCATCACGTCTCATTCTGGTCCTCACAACTCGAGGAAGACACGAGAGGCTCCAAAGGAGGTCCATGAGGGCAGGGGAGGGGAACTGTGAGCAGGCAATATTCTAGCAGGGGGCACTGGGTGTCCAGAATGGACATGAAAGATCTTAGAGCCAGACATTGTAAGAAACAGGACAGGAACTGGCATTGCTGCAGCAACACAGGATGTGGGACACAAATCCTGAGGATAGTGGGATTTATGAACCCTATTGCTCACCAAGCAGCTTGTTTTCACATAAAAAGAACCACACCCATACCCATGAAATAATGCCTTTGGAATTATCTTCCTGTCAAGGTTTTTCTGTTCAGATTAAACAAGTTCTATTTTGATTCATGTACTAATATGACTCATTTTCATATTCCAGAGAGCAAATGGAAATCCTACCCATATATCTCATTTTTTCAACAATTGGTTATAAACACCAACCTGAAATCAGCTTGTAAAGATGGCAACAAAAATTCAGTGTTTGTTTGAGCAGCAGGTGTGAGGGACTGCTCCTTATCTTCCTGCTGCTTCACCTCCTGCCAGCACCCCACAGCGATGGTGAAGGTGGATGCTGGCATTGGCATAGACACGTAGTAGTACCAGCTCAAGGTACCTGTAAACAAAAAGAACATTTGCACAGACTCATCAGTCTCACAGCACACATTAGGCACTTGACACTTTTATGTACTCGAGATTTTGGGCCAAACCTCCCACCTTTAATCCTGGTATTTCTGAGGTAAGAAAAATAATTTCACCGACACGCAGAAGAACAATCACCTGTAACCACCACGAATTCAGTGCTGTTTACTTGCACCTCCAACTTTGCTCTATCTGCTGATGCATCTGTAAATAAATCATCCATAAGTGGGATGTTATTAATGCAACTTAACCTGATTGTGCTGTTACTGCCCAAGAATTACATCAGACATGAAATCTAATAACACCTCTAAATACAAACATACACAAAATATTAAAACTTAATTCTTTCAGCCTTGGACCTACCACCTTATGGTTTTGTCTTGTTTGTGTTATGTCACACAGAACAAAACCTTTCCTTGTGTTCTGGACAGCACCAAACTGATAGCCAAATGACAACAAATAACACCAATGCCTGTGAATTGGACCTGGCAACCTGAGACACGTGATGTGTCAACCTGGCAGCAGGAAATCAAAGCTTGGACTCAGGTGGGACATCACACAAGTCAACAATTTGCTCATGATGTGCAGAATGTGCTAAAACAGGATGAGAGTCTGTCAGAAGGTAAAAAGATGCTTTATCATTATGGGAACAGAGTGTGGGAAGACAAGGAGTATGGATGGGGTGATTGTATGTACAAACAGATTTTGTTAAACTGGAGGACATTTTAGAACAGCACACTTCCCATTAATATAAATGTTGCTTTGACTTTCAGTTTGCCCCTTTAAAAAGGATATAGCTTAAAAGTCACATCCACACATTCATTTATGCCCATAATACAGTCACTACACCACACTAATAGATTAATTCTCTTGGAAGGAGCCTGGCATGAGCTACAACCTGATGAATCATGTGCAAACAACCGTAGCTGGGGCAACTGTGGAAACACACAAACTTCATTTATTTTAAGAGAACATTAATACTTGTTCTTTTGCAATACTGTTCTGACTAGGGCTGTGGAACACTACCAAAAATTTAAAAAGGAAAAATCCACGACCAAGTGGATATCACCAAGCCATAAAGGAAAGGAAATAAACAACTGCTGCAAAGCACCTCTTGATTTCCCACCTTAATGACCACAGAGGGTCAAGCTGTCCAAAGGAAGGACAAGCAAAAACATCTTTGGGTTTAGCCTCGATAAATTTTTCACCTGCTATTTAGTACAAAAAAAAATACTGTTTGTGAAGTCTTCTGAGAGGCAGATAAAGCCTTTGTCTCTTTAATATGCACTTATATTCCCTCACCCCCTTCCACTTTTGGCAACATCCAACACCAAAACCCTTTTGTATTGTCAGGTGAATGTATATTTACTCCTCTAATTTTCCTTACCTCCTGTCAGTATGCAAGCAGAATGAACTCCTTTGCTCCAAACACATTAGGAACAAGGAGGATAACCGTTTGGCAAATTTCACCCCACCTTTTTTTTTTATTATTATTAACTTACCAAAGCTACAAATGAGCCAAGACAAGCAAATACCACCTTGAGAGAAAAAGGTCACCCAGGACTGCAACAATATATTATTTCAAACTACCAAACTCCTGATGTGCAGGGTTTCATTGATGGGAACTGTGCTGGAGGCCCCAGCCTGCACACACTGCAGTTGGCAGCAGCTTTGCCACTGACTGACACCTGCACAAGGCCAGGCTCAGAGGTGCTGCACCCGTCCCACACAGAGCATTCCAGAACGCTCCTTGCAGTCCTGCTAACCGTAAAATCTTAAGAATTAAATAACAGCAGGGGAAGAGTGAAAATTTGAGGAATTGCAATGGAAAAACCATCACGTGTTTTCAACCGTGTTCTGAGAAAAGCACAGGAGTCAAAAAGCAGCCACAGAAAACTGTTCCAAACGGCACGAGGTGCAAAGGAGAAGCCTCTCACAAATATGGGGAGATTGTCTAAAAGCAAAGGGTGTTGGCCTGTGCTAGGCAAACAGAGATTAGAGAGGGTTACAGTCAGAAACAAGTTTAGTAAGACAGGCTAGAGCAAGCAAGACCACAGATGCTTTTTTTAAAAAAAACCAAAACACAAGTAGTTTGAACAGAATGTCAAAATGAATGTCAATCAGTTCAGCAGTGCAGAGAGAGCAGCACGTGCAGCATTCAGAAATCTACACAGATCAGCAATGAACAGATGCTGTTTAGAGCAAACCATGCAAAAGAGCAAAGGTACCAAAGCCCGTCCTATTTTGCAAGCATTACAGAAATCATGTGAACTATGGATCCTCCCAGAATAAGATCCAAGACTTCCACTGTCTCTGCACACCCAACCAGAGCTCAATCCATTTCCTGCAGGGAATTTAGATGCCTTCTGCATTCATAGTGTAGAACTATCTATATATATACACTATATACTATATACTCTATACTCATCCTACAGTTGTTCTGTCTTGAACAACAGAAATCACATGCACAGGCACGACAAGTGAGTTCTCTCCACAGAACCACAGGATCATCCCGGTTGGAAAATGGTGCATTGGCTGATCAGTGACTGAAGTGGTCTTTTTGCTGGCAAGGCTTCCCTGCAGACAGCACCATGAAGAACTGTTCCAAAGGCAGCTTAACTAATATTTTAACTCATATTTTGTCTTCTCCTCTCACTGCTGGTGAGACTGTCTCCAGCCTGACCTTCTCTCCCATAACTTCACCTCCCTCCTTACACTTTCTTCACGTCAGTGGGCTTTGTTTTGCTTTCCTTCATCTGTATCACACGATTTATCCCAGGACATAGATCGGGATCACAACTCCTTTTCCCACCCTGCGTTTTCCCTGTGCTTTCCAGCGTCTACCTTGGAGACAGCACCACCTCTAGGATGACAGAAAACAGCGCAGCGGGAGCAGGGAGGGGCTTTCTTTACCAAACACAGCATTTTGCACCATAACAACATCTTCAGGCTAAGCAAGAACACCTCGGGAAGAACAAGGTATTACGCTGGGGTCAGCCCATGGGAAAAAACAGAGGAAGATCACCCCAGTCCTGCTATTTGTAACGTTATTTTAAAAGAACTTGAATCCTACACATGATTATTTTAGGCAATTATAATACTTCCAAAATATTTTGTTCTTTTCTCCACAGGAAATTCTGAAAATATTTTTTTTTTCAGTTCTGCAGAGCAAATCTATCGTGCCATAGCTATAAAAACCATGCAGCAACAATCACCTGTTCCATGGGTTGTGACTGAAAAACTTTCCATGCGAACGTTTAACCAGAGCAGGAGATTTTAATCTATTTATAATTGCGCAAAAGAACAATTTAAAGGTCGTTTATTTCTTCTACTTGAAATAATAATGATGAATGATGTAATTCCTTCCTAGAATTTTTAATGCATTTAGTTATCTTTGAAATCATTAAAATTGTTCGAGTCCTGTAGAGTTCATTATAACTGGAAAAAATGCCCGAGTTAGTATCTGTTGGTGCCAGATGCAAAACCATTGTGAGTATTTGTACTTATCAGTATGTTTTCCCTGAAATAGCTTGCACTAACACAAACACCACAAAATACAGATGATGTTCACAACGTGCTACAACCACCAAGCTCAGCTGCCTCTAGGGAAAAGGAGAGGTGACCCTACACAGCACCTGACACACAAAGTAAGGGCTAATGTTAACACAGAAAACTGCAGCTAAACAAGTAGTTATGCAAAAACTACTATTTGGTTGGAGCACCAGGATTAAGAACCCTCCAGCTTTCTGAAACTCTTTGTGACTTGTAGAGATCTTTGATCTCATCTGAAAGCCAGAATTTCCCACAGAGCAGCCAGGCACTCGTGCCAAAGCATTTGTTCAGCATGGGCTCAGAGGGATGAGCAGATGTGATGAGCTGTCAGCTCCCCGTGCTGCACTCCCTGATACGTGCTGGACATCAATCAACACCAGTGCTGGACTCCTTTGTTTTCCCTTCTGAAAAGTGAGAGGAGCAAAACAAAAGCAACTGTTGCTGCTGCTAAGTACAGAACAGCAGCAGTGGCTTCTGCAGCACCCTGTTTCCTCCCAGTAACAGAACACACCTTCTCACTGTAAGAGCAGGTGTCAAAACAAGCTCAAGGATTATCTAATGGCAGAGTAAGCACACAAAAAGCAAGCCAGCCAACCTCACACCTAATGGCTGAATATCTGCTGCTTGAACGTGAATCAAACAAGTGCAAAGGTGTTTGTGACTAAATGTATTTGCACCTTCTGTGTGTTACAGTAGTGTGCTGAAGGAGAGGAAAACTGAAAAGCGTTGACAAATCAATGTTAAATGGCTCACACTGCACACACACAGCTCTGTGCAAAGCCTTCTCCCACAGCACACTGCCAGTGGCACTTCCCTGATTAACTTCCCTTTGCTAATTACTCCCTAAAGAACCACGGTATTTTTAAACACTTTTAGGTCATACTCAAATAGCTCCTATTTCTACTTGCACATGTGTCTTTATCACTATTTGCAAACAGAAGTGGCCTCACTCGATTCCAAATGATGGGATCAACCACAGTTTTGTTGAAGGCAGAGTGCAAAAATGGCACATACGGGAGGAAATTCACCCTTACCAAAACCTGCAAAGGGGGAATCTGGGCATGAGAGCACACCCAGATTAGCTGTGCACTGATTGCTGCACCTACACACGGGGAGATGTGTCTGTGAGGCACAATGTAGACCTCTAAAAGCATGAAGGAACTGACCTTGCCTGCTGTTCTTTTATTGCCTGCCTGCATACTGGTTATAAATATAACTTGTAAGGGCAAAGATATTCAGCTGACCTGTAATTTTCTTCAGAATAGGTTAATTCACAGCTGCTTGCCAAAATGCTAATTATTTCTGACAAATTGCACTTTAAAAAATATATTTTGCTATTCTGCCAGTTATGTATCATTTTATAATCATGCAGCACAGCAATAGCATACTGCATATAAATAATATGGCAAACTTACTGTAATTGAAGTAACCCTGAAAGGCTTTTTCGTTGTGTAAAGACAAAACTTTAAGTTGAACACATTCCATATGCCTTCCATAACTGCCTAACAACAAGATCTACATGGGACAGGTTATTTAACACAACAGACCATTTTGAACTTTTTAACTCTTAAAAGTTCTGCTAATTTAACTAATGAATTTGTATTCCTAAATTCATTAAGGATGTTTGGGTTTTAAAACATTCCTCTCAATACTACTTCTTTCCCTCTTCCCCCCATATCTGTTTCGTAAATTTTTACAATTCCAAACATCTCCCTGGTTTGCCATTTCCATCTGTATTTAAGGACCAAGATAATGAGGGTCTCTAATTAAACTAATTAAACACTGATGGCAAAGCCTTTATCCTAGTCTGAAGTCAAGTCTTCTTGCTTTCTTGATGCTGAGACAGGAAAGTATTAGTTTCCAAGTGAGCTGAGCAGCTCATCATGGCAGTTTTCCATATTTTAACAGCAGAGACAAGCCCTGAAAGAGGCTTCATACATGGCCAGACAATTCCATGCAAATGGATTAACTGATGGTTCTCAAATCAGGGAGATTTTAATTCTTTTTTTTTTCCCCCAAGAATAAACTTGCCTATATAAAGGGGATAGAAGATTCTTTCCCCCAGAAATACTTATTTCTAACCCTTTCCTATATGCTGCTTTTTATCAGAACTACTTACACTAGAAAATACTGAACCAGTTTGACATGATATATCAAAACTAATGGGAGCAGGACATACTTTATTAGGTGTAGGACTCCCTTAAAAACTTCCTTCTCTGTGCAGACAGTTTAGAGAATAAAGTTTAACCAACACAGAAGAAATTTTGCTATTGCAAAAGGTGTGTTCTATAAATGCAAAAAAAACCCACCCAGAGATCAGATTTTCAGGGCACTGACCTGATATTCCTCATCTATTCCATGTATTTCAGGAAACAGATATGACACAATGAGTGCTTGTAATCACTGGCACGCTGAGCTACACTCTGCCTGGAGAACTAAAACTAGAGATAATTATCTACCAAGGCCTGAAGTTGTTGAGAGCCTGATAAGGTACTTCATCTATGAAACATTCAACTGCAGAGTGATTAAAACAAAGCCAGCTTATGAAAAGTGAAATCTAGCTTTGGAAACACGGAGGAAAGAAAAAGTAAAAAGCAACACAGTGAAATGCTGATGCTTTCAATTCTTACCAAGTTATCCTTGAGCAGGTAACTTCTCCACAGAGTGACACGGAGATTGCAAAGAGACAGGGAAGTGCTTTTGGGGTTGGGAACGTCATTCTTTCAAAAACCACGCGTTTACTGAGCTTTATTTCTAATTCTAAAAGTACAGAAAATAATTTGCCGTAAAGAATATATTTCACCTTCTGGAAGCTGGGCTGGTTCTGCCGAGTTCTCCCCACTCATGAGCACCACAAAGCCTGCAGCTGCTCGGACAGAGGCTTGCCAGGTGGACAAGGCAACGGGTGGCTCCTGGCATGGGAAGAGGGCTCTGTTGTTTATTGGTGATCCCATCGTGTAAACACATGGCCTAGACAGAAGAAAAAGGCATTGAAGCTGGATTTACAGTAAGAAAGACTGAATTAAGTTCTCCGTCAAAAATCAAAACTACTGTTGTACTGAGGTGTTTTTTATCTGCCTAAAAAAGCACCATATGCATAATTTAGAACAATTTAAGGAATTCTCCCCCGAGAATATACTGTGATAATACTTTATACATTATAAATGGGCTTTAATTTTAGAAAGGGCAGAAAATATTGGCAGCATTTTGTACAATGACCTTTATCACTATATTTATGGGCTCATCACATGAAACTTTCTTTTAAAAAGAGGTTAAACCTCAGCTTTGTGGATCTCAAACCTGCATGATGTGACCAATAAAATTACAATCTAAGTCATTTCAGACAAGAAAATCAAGATTACCACAACAATTTTACACGAACTAGAGAAGACTAACTCTAGTCTTTCCCCTCCACTGCTTTTGCATGAGTCTTCCAGCCTCACACCTGGCTTTCAGCTGAACCCACAAGGCCAAAGAAGGCTTCTGAGTATCCTCTGAAGATGCCATTGCAGGGCTTCAACCTGTAACACCTCCCTGTGGTAATTACAGTAGTGCTTTCATTATCATTAATCCCAGCTCCTGGATTAACAACCTGGAGGCTCATGCAAACTCAGCAGCAGATCTAGTTTTTGAGTTTTCCTTAGTCCAAGCCTCAATAAATCCTGGCATTTTTACCCTTATTCTTAGAGTAAGGTAATGCTCACCTGTCTTTCAGGATTTCAACCACGAGGCACATAACAAGAAGAAAGAATTTCTTCCCTATCAGCTTCAGCCTCCCTCTCAATTTTCACAGAGCAAGCTTCCTTGCAGTACTGCTCTTTTTGCAGTGTCTCTAACCCTCTCCCAGGCAGCAGCCTCTTGATTTACTGCCCCTTTCCAATTTCAGCTGCAATGTTTTATGCCAGCCAATTCCTCACTAGCCCCTTAGCCACAGCTGGGAAGGTAACAAGGCCTTTCATTTAACTCCTTCTCCCTTGCTGTTGCTACTGGATGGATGTAATGATTCTTGGTTTACTTCTTTTGTTGCATTTTGCACTTTTATCTTAATTCCTATTACTTGCATAACAACACATTTAGCTTGGAAAAAAAAAAAGCTAATTTTTCTAATATGATTTATATAAAGAATCACAGTCAGTAGGTTTCTCCAGCAAAAGAAAAAAAATCTTGGATGCATCACTTCACTACATAATTTTTTAAAACCTATGACATTTAAAGCTAATATTCTGGGAGCACAATCCATTATTTTGTGAATGCTTGAGAATAAAAATGTTCTGATCGGTATCTTTCATTACTTGAGTTTAAAAATCATCATGACACTTTAGCAAATAGGAGATGGGTTGTTAAGGTAAAAACTACTTTGCAATGGCTACGATCTGAGCAGAAAAATTACCAGCTAACCTAGGTACAGAATGACAAATAATTAGATTTAGACTGCTTTTGTCAATTGATACAATATTTGCCTTTTTTTTTTTCCTGATTTATCTCTACCCCTGCTAGCAAGAAACTTCTCAGTTCCTTTCTTTTTTCCTATTATCTGCCCTCTCCAACTCTGGTCTTTCACTTTTAATGGTCTTGTAACACTCAGATCATCTACTTATGTAATATTTAGGCCATCCATAATCTTTGCCAAGACAGGTTGGAACAGATAAGGAAATTGCATGCAGCAAAAGAAAGATAAGCAGAGAACTCAGATTCTTTGTCTGTTTACTTGTTACACTGGAAAAACAAGTGCCTGCAAAACGTATCTCCAGTCACTCATCTGGACAACTTTATGACTAGTAATATGACACACAACTTTATGACCAGTAATTCCCAGTGAACAGCCATCCAGGCTACTGGAGAGACCAAGAACTGGTTGTGGTATTGTTTGGTTTTGCTCCAAGAGCAGACTTGGGACTGTCTGTTGCTCAGGAATCTCTCCAAGGAAAATTTGAGTCGTGCAATCCTAACCCCTGAGCAGTCCACATATTTTCATACCATAACAAGACCAGTTCAAACCAGTTCTTGGCAGATCTCTGCCTCCCATGTAAGCCTGTCAATTATAATGAAAAACCAAGCTGCTGCCTTAAAGCTAATGATGAACATTCAGCTGATGTTCTGTTCTCCAAACAGGAACCTGCAGGCCCTGAGATCCTGCCACCAAACCCCTGGAACACGTCCCAGGGCTCAGCCACATCAAACTGCTCTGGTCAGTGACTGTTTGAGGCTTCCTCAAGGAAAACACCCAACTCAGCCACTCTACCCCTTTCCTGTATTTGAAAAAACACATTTCCCGCTTCTTGAAGAGTTGTCTCCATTTAAGGATGCAAGGTGGCAACTCCTGCAACTACAAGGACACTCCCCCTAAAACCACTGCTGTTTCTTACCCTACATTACACTGTCATTTCCACAAAGCAAGCAGGATTTCCTGGCATCTGAATCACACCAATTTTTTATTCTGCCTTATCAATTTACACACCTGCCAGGTATTCTTGTTTTCATTTTTCTGTTGGAAAAAACACCAGTCAATAATTACCCATGTGTTTTTTCATGGCCTTCCTCTTAGTTAGGACAACTAACTCAGAGGACCTAATTCAAATTTTTTAGAAATATTCGTTTGATGCCATTCACATTTTCAGGAAAATCAAATCTGTTCATTTCGTACTCAAGGCCTGCCTACACTTTTTAAATTATTATTATTATTATTTTTGTTTTAATTCTCCGTTGTATTCATGATACCATTTGTTGTTCTTTAGGAATCACTGCATATGACATGAGTAATCCAATAAACTTCATACTGCTTTAGTAATTACTCAAATGTAAATATCCACATGTTCAATTCCTCTGCTAAAAACAGAAGTGTGCCCTGCTGTGATAACGTTTGTATACACTTAACTTGCCTAAGCTCATCCCCAAAAAGCTTTGTTTCAACTGATTTTTTTTGTATGTGTATTATAATACATCATTGTTTAAAACAAATAAAATTGAATTCTTGATAAAGTTGTGCATAGGCTGAATTTCAAAACATTGTACTGGTGTTAAATTAGAGGAAACATTGGAGCAGTCAACACAATGTTTGTACTTTGTTATTTACTTTTCTTCAGGGTTGGAACAACAGTATAGACTCCTCTGGCAAAGGATTTGACATCTGCCTAAAAAAGCACCACGTGCATAATTTAGAACAATTTAAGAAATTCTCCCCTGCAAATATACTGTGAAAATACTTTATACATTATAAATGGGCTTTAATTTTAGAAAGGGCAGAAAATATTGGCAGCATTTTGTACAATGACCTTTATCACTATATTTATGGGCTCATCACATGAGACTTTCTTTTAAAAATGTAGCAAGAAGGTCTGGTGTGAAAATTGATTTTCTGACAGACATTACTTTTTGGAATACCCTACACAAGCCTGAAAATAAATCAGCTTGAAACTATTTGCTATTCCCTCCTATAAAGAGCTTACATTAAAGATTTCTGTACAGTACCACACATTTTCACAACCACTAGATATAATGCCAATTCTTCCTCGTTTCAGTTTGCAGTTCATTTGCTATATCATCAACGTACTTAACACAAAAGATGAAGGAAATTTCAGAAGTTCATTATGAGAGTAAACAGCAAAGGACTGCATTTCTAAGCTGACTGCAATATTGATAAAGGACTAGCTGTGAAGCAAGTGTTAAATGTTACATGTATTGATCTTCCTGCTGTACAATCAGCTGTGTAAGCCAGGGAGGAAAAAGAGCACCGAGTATTACAGTGCAAATAACCTGTCATTCACACCTTTTCTTCCCCTAAATGATAATTCCCTATTCCCTGCACACACTTACTGACACACACACAAATTATTTACTCCTGCTCAGAATGAAAAGACACAATCACTTGGACAGGCCTGGGGTCTTCGAGTCCATGGGAGCTTCATGAGCAGAGAGTTTGTCTGTTCTCCTGGAGGACAGCAAAAGGATGCAAACCAAGGCTGAAATGAAAACTCTGGAAGAGTGTGCTCATGATCTTCACAGCTGCTCAGCAATTACACCATTCTACTACATTCTTGCAGCTATTTAAAATGATTGCACACAAAGCTCTCAGCAAACCACAGTTCCATACCTGCCACTCTGGTCTGTGGTCCACGCCACGGATCTTCCGCCCGGGTTGGTTTTGTACCATATTCTCACAGCGTGAGGGAAGTCTGCTGGAGTCCCAACTCCCGGTTTCCTGATCTCCAGGCTCCAAGGGCCAGTAGCAAAGGGCAGCTCTCCACAGCCAGGTGCCCGGCTGCAGTCAGCAAAACAGCACAGCTGCTCCTTCCAGCGCTGTGCAGGTAAAGCCACAAGTTCCTGCACAATCTGATTCCTGAGGTTCCCCAGCTCCTCTGAAACATCGGTCAGCTTGGCAGACCTGGTAAATTTTTCAATGCCTGGCACAGCAGCAACATCTACCTCTTCAACCTTTAGCACAGATAAATCACAGCAGTCCAACACCAGCACAAAATCCTCGTTCCCGTGATTCTCCCTGTCACAGCAGTCCTCTGAACTGGAAATCCCAGAAGCCTGTTCACTGTTGCTATGGTTACCATTTCCATCAGAAGCATCTTCTTCACCTTTACCACTGACAGCAGAACCATTACATTCCATTTCAGATGAACAGGCACTCACATTTGTCACAGGAACGTGGCAGGGCCCAGATGCCCTCATTTTATGGGATTGATCACACTCTGACTGGCAGCATTCCCTGCCAGTGCTGCTGGTTTTCCTGTGCTGGCTCCCAGTCTCAAAGAATAAAACTATGCTGCCTTCAATAACTTTACTTTTAAAATCCACATCCAAGTCCAACACGTAGTGCTTTACAAGCATGTAGCTGGTGTTTGCCATTAAGGGCAAGTCATCCTTCATGGGGTCCAGCTGTGGATCCATGTTCCAGTCTGTTGGGCAACAGTTTTACAAAGCCTTAGACAATTCTTACATATGATGACTCCAGAAAGAGAAGAATATTCAGCTTCCCAGTGTCAAAAATAATTTTGAATAATATTAGAGTATTGAAATTAATTGTAGTTTCTCCACTTCTCACATTCTGAAAAAAAAAACAAACAAAAAATCATTTCAAAACCATTTCTGAAATGCACTAATTCTGACGTATAAATGTCAAAGCATGCTTGTATCATTTGTTTATATTGTGGCCTAACTACTAATACAGCCTTAAAACTGCACATGTATTCATTCTGTATTTCCTTTCCTTCTTCCTTAGCAGGTTGAGAGAATGAATTGTAGTCATGGTGTTCATATAACACAGGAAACACACTACATCAACTCCTAAAACCACACCCTTGGTGCACACCTTGAAAGTTCTCTGCCTGTATTCAAGCTTTGTATATGCAAACAGTGCATCTTTTACTACTGCTTCATAAATATGCTATTCCCAGCAATATTCCTTGGATTTGATGTGACAAGTTCTTCACTCTCTTATGCATTTATCAAGGTACTGTCACCACAGACAAGATACATTATTTCTAACATCTTTTTTTTTTAGATATTTCTCTTATTCAGCATTGTCTTATGCAGGATTCTTTGCTATGTTATGCCCATAATATGAGTATCTAGTTTTCATTTTTGTGACAGTAATGCATTTCAACTTTAGAAAAGGTGGTTCACTAACTGGACTCTAAGCATAAAAAAAATAATCAGGAATTGTAATTCTACTACAAACTTCTGATGATCATTTTACAAACCCTGTTTTGTGTGATACTTCTTCAACACAGAGGTGTAACAAATAACTAGTATACTTTAAAAATAGACTCTTTCCTTATCAAATGTACTTTGTAAGTCATAAAATTATAAGGCAAGCTAATTATTTGGTTACATGTTTTAATATTTTAGAAGACAGATGTTCACAAAACAACCACAGCAGCAGATGGGAGCCAACATGAATAGAGTCACTCTTGATCACCTGCACATAACAGAGTTGCATAAAAGGCACAAAGAATGGGAAACAAGGGAGAAATTGTCCTTCCTGGAATGATATTTGTATAACATTGTTTTTCCACTCAATACAAAAAGCAGCAACCTGAATTAGAACCATAGGTCACTGAAAGCAAACACAAGAAAAAAGCTTCCAGGCAAAATAAAATGTGGTTGCAAAGTAGACAAGATTAAACTTTCTAAAAATACCTATAGCAAAAAAAAAGTGTCTTTGTAACACAGTAACTCATAGTCTCGACTGCTACACTTAAAAGGAAAATGTAATAAAGAGAAAGGGGAAGGGAAGAACCTGGAAACATAATTCCACCCTACTGGGGAAGGTGGAGCAAAAAAACTGAGGGGCACCTGAACTACCCAGCATGGTGAACAAGAAAGTGGAGAATAACTGTTACACAAAGCAGTCTAATTAAACTTGCAAATAGTCCATTAAAAACTAGAATCATCAATTATGACACTTGATACTGAAATTCCATTATTCTAGGAAGCTGATACTTTCAATTGCTAACAGCTAATTACTCCAGTTTAACTTCACCCCAACAGTAATAATCCAGATGAGAAAATCAGAAAGCCAGCTGAACTTGTTGGAAGGTTCAGCAGAGGCAGTGCTAAATGGAAGTAAATGAAAGGCTTATAAACTTAAAACAAACAAACAAACACAAAAACACAAACCAAACCAAACAAAAACCAAAACAAACAAACAAACAAACAAAAACCACAAAAAGAAACCCACAACCCCCCCACACACGAATGTGAAAGGCACGTGCAAAATGCAGCAGTCAAGACAGTCCCACATCTTGTCATGCAAACGTGTGCCAAATACAACACAGACACAAAACACCTCTTATTTCAGAGCTGTTTCTTTTCATCCATTTCCAAAATCTTAGAAAACAGAAATGAGAGGGCTGTAATGAGAGGAGATCAAGAGAGCTGATCTCCAACCAAACCAAGCAGTTACAACTCTGTATTTGACATCTGCCAAGCCCCAGAAAATTCTCTTAAACTGGGAACCACTTGAAAGTAATTCCAAATAATTTGAATGCATTAACTGGTTAATGCCTTAAAAACCATTTCCACTATTTTTCATCGTGGAAAATCAGAGTTGCAGAGACTGGCCAATATCCAGATGATACACATTTAAACAACAGGTTTTTACATCAGCAAAACAAAGCCCTGTTTGGCCTCCCTTCACCTTCAGCTCAGCATTTGCTTCATCTGTACATAAAAGCTAATTCAATTCCTTTCAACATGCAGGTGTTAGAATTATAACCCATAATGCTCTCTACTTAGCATTTAAAGAAATTTAAAAATAAAAAAAATAAAAGAGCTTTTTGGATAAACCTTTGCTTTCATAATTATAAGCAGTTTATAACTAATTCCCTTTAAACTGATTTCATGGCAGCTTCTCCCAAATTCAAGATTTTAAATTTTTCACACAATGTAGGACATTAGGATCGTACCAAGAAGTCAGTTTTGAACATCAGCATCAACAATAATTTTACTTTTTAAATATCAAGCAATAGGTATCCATTATTTTTGGTAATTACAAACTTTTTTTTCCCCTGACACATAACACAAATAGCTAAGACATCTTCAGCATTTTTAAGGCAAGAATGAGTTCTTCTGTAGATGAAAGTAAGGTTTAAACAAGCTAACAGAAGCATTTGCTACTGTTAAACTACCATAAAACAATCCAGAGAAGAGAGCTTGCAGACCTCACTCTGCGTCACAAGAAAACCACCACATTTTGTAATGAGCTTGGATGTGGAAATTAATTCAATTACTAATGTCCCTGGATATAATAATTGGTGCCATTCCAGATATCTTCTTTTAAGTATGAAAACTATAGAAATAATGAGCATAATGGAAGACCTTTGCCAACTACAAGTTACAGCAGGAAGTTAATTCTGATGAGCTGAAATTACAAGTCAAGATAGAAAACTCCTTCTTTCAGCTGAAATAAGAGGGGAAACACCAAAAAATCAAAGTCTCCATCCGCCCCCCAAATACTAATTCCTTAAGAAAAACAACAAAAGACTGAAAGAGAAGCATATCTTACTATTGGTAAAGAAGCTAAGAAGAGCACCCTGATATTCCCCTTAACTTCTCTTTACTCCACTGGCAATTATTTGTATTACACTAGTGACCGAATACCTAAAATAATGAAACAGAGACCAAATACTTGTTTTAAAAGTCCCAGCCCACAAATCTACATTACTGTGTTTGTAAAAAAAGATCCCAAACACTTACGTAAGGATGGAATTTTCCATTTTTTATTTTACGGAATTATTTCAAGGTGGGTGTGATAATCTGGTGTACCTAACCCTGCTTGAGCTGCAGCACTGGGGTCTGTAGCAGTCCCCTCCAACTTCACGGGTTCTGTGGAGATGCTGAACAGCATTAAAGAGGAGCAGAATTATTTCCACTCAAAATACACAAGGAAGGGGCACGTGCGACTGACCTTCAGGAGATGGAGCAAGCCTGTCAGATGATACTGGTATATAGGAAGCATCCAAATAAAATCCGTGCTGAAATAGGGCTGTTTTTAACTCAATGCAGCAGTTGGTATACGAATACCACCTACCATGTCAAAGAACTACTTTCTTAAGGCTGAAATGAGAAAAAGACTCTTCTCTTCCCAATGCTGACAATGGCAAGCCACCTCAGACACTCAGTCTGACCTCTGCAAAACTAAGCATTAAACCGAGCAAAGGAACTAACACACAACTAGGCCGAAATCCTGAGATGAATTACACGCCACCGTTTATTAAAATACGAGTTTCACCTACGTGTTTCTAGTGTTAAAAAGGCCAGTGGGTGGAACAGCTCAATAACCAGCTTTGAGTGGGTGGAGGAAGGAAACCAGAGGCCCAGAGGACGGGCATTGATTCAGGCTGTGCGACCAAAGGCGGCGGGTACCGCTGGCTGCACATCCATCCCCCTGCGCTGCATCCCGAGCCCAGCGCTGCATCCCGAGCCCCGCGCTGCATCCCGAGCCCCGCGCTGCATCCCGAGCCCAGCGCTGCATCCCGAGCCCAGCGCTGCATCCCTTCGGTCCATGAGCAAAGGCAGGGACGGCAGCTCGTCCCCTCCCGGAGCGGCTCCCCAGCCCAGCGGGACGGGGATCCCCTCTCGGCCCCCCCCGGCCCGGGCAGGGATGTGGAGCCGGGGAGGGGGCGAGGGCAAGGAGGGAACGCTCGGAGCGGGGCGGGGGCCGCTGCCCGCCCGGGGACACCCGGAGCCGGTGCCGGAGCCGGTGCCGGTACCGCGTTACCTGCGCTCCGCCCGGGCCCGCGCGGCGCCCTCGGATGAGATCAAACCGCCCCGCCCCGGCACCGCCCCAGGACCGCCCCGGTACAGCCCCAGGACCGCCCCGGTACAGCCCCGGCACAGCCCCGGCACCGCCCTGGTACCGCCCGGGGACAGCCCCGGCACAGCCCCGGAGACAGCCCCGGTACAGCCCCGGCACAGCCCTGGTACCGCCCCGGTACAGCCCCAGAACCGCCCCGGTACAGCCCCGGCACCGCCCCAGGACCGCCCCGGTACAGCCCCGGCACCGCCCCAGGACCGCCCCGGCATCGCCCCTGCACTGCCCCGGTACAGCCCCGGGCACCGCGGCCGCCTCGGCCCGGACGCGCCCGCTCCTTTCCCGTTCCCGCTCCTTCCTTCCTCGGCTCCCCTCCTTCCTTCCCCGGCCCCGCTCCTGCCCGGGTGAGCAGGGACAGGCGGTTCTCGCCATCCACGGGCTGATCCGGCGGAGGACAGGCCGTGAGGGACCGAGCCCGCAGCGTGGCCCGGCGGCCGGGAGGGCCGGTGGTGTCCCTGGGCTGCATGGGCAGTAAGTCAGCGGGTTATCTACGGGTGGAGGGGGGTGATCCTGCCCTTCTGCGTGGCCACATCTGGAGCGCTGTGTCCAGTTCTGGGCTCCTCAGCACAAGAAAGACAAGGAGCTACTGGAGAGGGTCCAGGGCAGGGCAATAAAGATGGTTTGGAGTCTGCAGCGTGTCTCTGATGAGGAGAGACTGCAGGACCTGGGCCTGTTTAGTCTGGAGAGGAGAAGACTGAGAGGAAATCTCAGCAACGTGTACAAATACCTCAAAGGCAGGGGCCAGGGGGATGGTGACAAACTCTTTTCTGCAGCTGAAGGCTGGAGTCACTCCCACTTTGTCAGTACATAAAGGGAGACTTATCTGCAAGTGGTTCCTGAAATAATTTAAATCTATGTGTTAAGTATACCGTATGTTGAAGGCTGTAAAGCAATTGGCTGTGGGGAGATATCCTTGAAGTTCCATGAGAAGTAGGGAAAAAAATTATACCTTGCCTGACTGCACATTTTAAAGTAATACACAGGAATGTTAAAGATACCAAAGAGGATAAAATAAACCTCAGATTCTGTGTTTTATCTTAGCTGAACACATATAGCATTTGCACTCTTGGGTTTCCAAAGATATCTCTCACATAAAGTTACCTTTTTAGAAGAAAATACAGAGATAAAAATGGACTCCTGATCTTAGGATCAAATAACTTCCAGCTCATAACTTCCAAAAATTAGTTATTGATATAACTGCCAAATATTGATGTTTTTCTGTGGCTTTCCTATTGCAGCAAGAGTGTTGTGATCTAATTTAACTTGTGTTTTCCTAAAAGGATCATTTCTTTTAACCAGTCTATTACTTCAGCCACAGTGATTCTTATCCTCCAGTGAAGAAAAATCCCCCCCTCTGCAGGAACACCAATGGTTGTCTTAATTCAGCCTCATGCTTTGATACCAGTTTGTCTTCATCAAACCTTAGTACAGTCATTGAAATATTGGATAAAGAAACTGAAACGTCTTGCTTTCAGGAAACGTTTCTCAACCAACACAAGAAAATTACTTGTTGTCCTGGAGGCTGGGTTTCATCATGGTCAGTGGAGAGATCTCATTGTGAACCCTTACAGCTGGTGCACCAGAGGGAAGTTGGGTGGAGTGAATCATCATTGAAAACTTCTATTCACTCTCTCATCTCCAAATGTAATGTAAACAAAGAATGTAAGTAAACATATGCATAATGTAACACTTTGCTGCAGGCCTATGATTTAATAATATGAAATGGTTTGCCACTAGCAAACTGAAAGAAAAGGTTTAGGAACACAAGAAATGCTACAGGGTAGAACTAAATATAAGCAAATGAGGGTCTAGAGAATATTTTGTAATCTGACAGATGGGCTGAAAAGCTTCTGACACATCACTGGAGGAGAATGGCTGCAGGGAATGGCCTGTGGTGCTGTAACTCCTCCAGCCCCATGTATGTCAGAAAGAAATACAGCTGCATTCCTGAACTATGTGTGTTGCTCGGTGACAAAATAAGTTTCACTTATTACCTGGAGTTGTCTTGACCCTGCAGTACGTATGCTCCCTTTTCTAAACAAGAAAATGTAGAAAACTGACAAAGTCCAGTTTTCAGAGCCAGCTGTGAGCCTCTGGGGCCACCCGAGTGCAGAGGGTACCCAAGACACGGCTGCTGGCCCCTCAGCTCTGCTGGCCCCTCAGCTCTGCTGGCAGCACATCAGGGGCACCAGCTGCCTTAGGGATGTCTGTCACATCCAGAAGAAGCTACAGGAACACACTGAAATCCTTTGCTGCAGTCTGTGCACTTTTTCCAGACAATACCAAAAATAAATATGATAAAGGGCTCACATATGCAGTTGTATGACCTTAGCTCCCTACGTAATTTGATTCAGAACCCACAAGAAACATTATGCTGAGGTGGTGAGGACATAAGCTGAAGAGTCTGACAGAAAGATTTGTGTAACACTGTCTCCTTTAGGTTGGTAAGCACCATGGCAGTGTATCAGTAGCACACACACCTGGCTGAGAAGGCACCTACTGACACTGAATGTAAAGTAACTTAGCACGAAAGTGTGACAGAATCACATCCCCCTTTCTTAACTGCCCTTCAGCAATGAATCTGGGAACCAAGATCTCAAAGTGGACTGAGAAAACCATAACAGGTAATTTAGTTTCAAAATCAAGGTGATTGCATTCGGAACTATTTCTTTAAAAAACCAGCACAGTTCTTCGTCTCAGCTTTTTCCCACGCGTTCGGACTTCCCACACTCGGGAATGAGCGGGGCCTGAGGGCGGGGCCACGACGGGGCGGGGGCGGGGCCGGGGGTGTGACTGACAGCGCGGGGGGCGGAGCCACTGACAGCTCGGGGGCGGGGCCACTGACAGCGCGGGGTGATTGACGCCAGGGGGGCGGGGCCGGGTGTGTGACTGACAGCGCGGGGGGCGGGGCCGGCTCGCGCTCTTGCCCCCGCCCACGGCCCGTGACGTCACAGCTCCTCCGCGCAGTGACGTCACTCCCGCTCCGCCAGCCCCCCCGACGGTTCTCCTGACGTCACACGCACACCCTCACCCCGCGGTGACGTGGATGTGACGTCACAGAGCCAGAAACTATTAACAGTTTGCCTGCAGGGTTACTGGGAACGAGATGGGGGTGATGGGCCAGATTCTGCCTGATTGCTGCAAAACATGGGCTGTGTCAAAGTTTTCCTAAGAAAGGATGTTCTGTGGTTGATCTTTTTAACTTTCAAGCCCAGGAAGCAAAAGAGGCCATGAAACTTGTTGGCCCTGTTAAGGTTTAGGGTTGGATGTGTCTCAATGATCTCAGCCCTGGGGGAGGGTATCAAACCTTGGGAGGAAGGATTTCCACTGGCAGTGAGCACAGGGAATGCAGAATTTATGGCCCACGCGGTCATCTGGCAGAACTTCCAAGATGAGGGAGGAACTAGTAAAGGCATCTCAGGACCTGGGCTGAATCAGCTCCCACTGGATACAGGGTGATTCCAACAGGGGCAGATCATGAGCACTGACCGCAGAAACCCCCCAACCAAAAGGAAGAAGAGAAAGACTGAGGGATCAATTAGCATGAGAAGTAAGAGAGTCATTAAACAATGTGTCCTGGTTAGAACGGCTGGGACCAATTCATCACTGGATGGGTGTAACCCAAAACTGTGTATTCTATAGCCTCCATGCCATTTCCCAAAAACTGCTGTCAGTAGAGGCCTGCAAGGTGGGAAGATGTTCCTGTACCCTTCTATGGAATTCCCCGCTCTGATACCCTTTTATGGAGGAGGGACTGAGCATTATCATGCCCTTTTATGGAATTCCCTACTCTGAGGGAGGGACTGAGCACTCCCGCCTGAACTGGAGAGTATATAACTGGGAGTTTCAGAACCTTGCCACCTCTCATGGGATCCAGAGGAAGATTGCAGACCACTGCCTTCAACCAGACTGAGACCACCCCCCTCAACTGGACTGCAATCACCACTTTTGACCAGACTGCAACAGCTCTCCCACCAGCAGGTTTTTCCCCTCTCCCTTTGCTTTGGACTCGGGGGTGGGCCAAGGTACACCACTTTTGTTCATACCCCAGGGTGCTGGGTTATACATTTGGGTTTTGTGGGTTAAAACCAATTGTCTGTCTGTATAATTGTACTTATTGCATTATTTTAATAAATTGTTATTCTGACTTATAAATCTCTCTTTTGAATTGAGTTCATTTTCCCTTGCTGGTTAACTTTTAAACCAGCACACAATGGAATATAAAATATAAAGAGAGAGTGATCAGACATTGGAATGGGCTGCCCAGAGAGATGGTGGAGTCACCACCCCTGGAGGTGTTTAAGAAGAGGCTGGATGTGGACTCAGTGCCGTGGTCTGTTGACAAGGTGGTGTTGGGTCATGGGTTGGACTCAGTGATCTTAGAGGTCTTTTCCAATCTAACTGATCCTGTGATTCTGTAATTAACAACAGAGCTATGTAACTTGTAGCTAATGGACATTAACATCTTTGTTTGCTGAAGTGTACAAACAGTGGTAGCTTTA